CGGGCCTCGGGGAGGCGGCGGCGAGCCCGGGGCTGGCCTTCAGCGAGGATGTGCTGAGCGTGTTCGGGGCGAATCGGAGCCTGTCGGCAGCGCAGCTCGGGCGCCTGCTGGAGCTGCTGGGAGCCGCCCCCGGGGAAGGCGCCCCGTGGCCGGAGCTGGGACAGCTGCACTACAATCAGGTGAGGCGCGCGGGGTCCACCTTATAGGGGGCGCCCAGAGGCACGCTGTTGAGTTGGAAACCACTTGAGGAAGAATTGAAGTGTTTCAAGTAGGATGGGCTAACTGGGGACACTAGATTGTCTTTAGACCCTTAGGCCTTGTGAAGATCAAAGAGCTTAAAGTTCACCGCAGAAAATGGCACTTTTCTGCCCCATGAGCAGAGAACTAGACTCTCATGGTTAGACGATTTCATAGAACTGCTTACAAAGTGTTTCGGGGCGTTGCAGGGCAGGGCTATCTTTTAGGTGGGAAAGACATACAAGGATCTTTCCAGAAAGACAGTGGCTTGTAAGGCCCATTCGCTACATTTCGGACGAGGAAGAAATCATAGGCCCTCAACTCTTGCCTGCCGGGTGGCTCCTGCCCTTTAAAACCTAGAGAGAGTTCTGCCTTTGAGTACAGGGCAACAGTAGGCGTTTAGAACCAAAGGGCCCTTGTGGTGCAATGGGGAAATGGAGGAGGCCTTGGAGCCCTGGTGGTTGAGCTGCGGTCAGCAAGGCTGAGAGTTCCAAACCCCCAGCAGCTCCTCGGAGAAAGACTGGGCTTTCTACTCCAGTAAACGGTTACAGTCTTGTCACAGCGGGGTCACTGAGTCAGCATGGACTGGATGGCTGGGAGTGAGTTTGAGAGCAAAGTTATTCACTGAGAGTAACCCTGTGAGACAGAGTAGAAGGATCGGAGGACCCTTTAGGATAGAGCAGTACTGCTCTCCTGGCCTCTGAGGAGGCTGTTAATCCTTATGGAGAAGAGGTCCCATTCCCCCCTGCTTGCCTGCTCAGCAAGAGGCTGGTGGGTTCAAATTGCTAACCTTACTGGTAGCAGCAGAATTTCTAACCCACTAAGCCACCTCCTGTATAAGCCAGTCAATACTGGGTGACTTAACTAACATGATTCGGCCTCGTTTCTACTCCTCTGTCAGGTGAGGTTAAGTGTTTGGTTCTAATGATCTAGTCACAATACTATATGCACTTCTCAAAGCCCTGGTAGTGTTGGGGGTTACACGTTGGATCACTAACCACAAATCCTAATTGGGAACTACCACCCACCCTGTGGGAAGAAGATGA